GATCGTGGGGCCACGTGTGCCTGCTGGACCAAAGGCAAGACCTTTGTCTCGCGCGCCGTCTCTTCGACCTGGCATCTCAGATGCTCAGGCGTCTGAGGAGGCTACTGGTTCCCCACGTTCTGTCGCCGGCTCAGCCGCGCCGACCAGAGAGGCTAACCTGCAAGATCCCAACGCGAGGGATCGGTCGGATTTGCGACGCGCGCGCGATGCTGCCATGGATGATGCCTCTGTCGCGGCCGTCGATGATGCCGCCAGCCTTGTGCTGCCCGCGGCGGTGGACGCCGCCGCAGGCGCTGCCTCGGATGCTGCCAGCAGTGTCGCAGGACACGGCTCCGCATACGACCCTGACCAGTCCTACCCGACCCGCGTGAATGGAATCCTTGTTGGGTATCACCTCCGCCGGAACAGGATCACGTGGCTGACTAATGATGAATTGTACAATTTGCCTTACTGGACCTGGCTGTCAAAGTGGGAGCATGACCATCATTTCCCGCCGAGAGAGGCGGCACCGGCTGGGAATACTGACAGAGAGAGAGAAGGCGGTCTCGCACGCCTCGTGGTATGGACGTACAGACGGGGGGATCGGCTACTTCAAATCCGCCGCCTCCAGCGCCGCCCAGGCGAGAGAGTTCGTGGAATCCGTTCGCGGACCTCAACTGAGTGCGGCGCGCGTGACTCCGTCCGCGGCAGGCGCGCACAAAACACTTTACCCACGCGCTAAGCGTGTTGGGCGCGGACCTCTCTACTGGTCGGCTAAGCCGGTCCAGCGGAGAGAAACTATTTATAACAATGGTGGGAAACGTCGAGCCTCTTCGGCCCTTGGCCCCCTGGCAGCCACAGTTGAGCCGTAAAAGCTTTTTCGGGTTGGCTCCGGTGGTTGTGCAAATGTGCAGGCCGGGGGTGCTGTGGCTGGATGGGCTCTACGCGGCCCGCCGCGGGGGGAGTAACTATGCTCCTCTCCGCCTCATACTCAATTAGAACTTAACTTAGCTTGCATGCAATGCACTGTCCGCGTGAACTGAAGCTGCGTTTCTGCAGCTGTATAACTGCTCAAACCAGCCGACCTCGGCTGGCAGGAGAGAAAAGGAGCGCGCTGGGGCGCGCGGGCGATTCGTCGTCGTTCGTCCTCGGCCTTCCTCCTCCCTTCCTATTCCTGATAGTGGTTTAGCTTAACGGATAGCTGTCTTATCAATGTCTCATCCCGCCTCCGCTCTCCCTGAGCAGAGTGAACATGAGATCTTAATTCCTTTGTCATCTTACCCCGATTCTCAGAGGAAAGACTGATGATGATGATGATGAGGAGGAGGAGGAGGAGCAGTAGGAGCAGGAGCAGGAGGAGGAGGAGGCGGAGGAGGAGGAGGAGGAGGAGGAGGAGGAGGAGGAGGAGATGGAGGAGGAGATGGAAGAGGAAATGGAGGCGGAGGAGGAGGACGAGGACGAGGAGGACGAGGAGGAGGAGGAGGAGGAGGAGGAGGAGGAGGAGGAGGAGGAGGAGGAGGAGGAGGAGGAGGAGGAGGAGGAGGAGGAGGAGGAGGAGGAGGAGGAGGAGGAGGAGGAGGGGGAACACCAAACAAACATGTCATAGTTTTCTGATGCATTGTTTTGCCGATCGGCGCGGGCCCTCGACCCCCCCCGTCATGGAGTAGATCTTGGCTGGTTTTGGCGCCTGTTTCCAGCAGGCGGGGCCTCCCATGGGACGCACGGTTGCAAACCGTCGCGCTAAGCAGAGGTCTAGAGCCAGACCCCCCCCCATTCCGCCCAATGTCGAAACGCCGAATAAGAAAACGCTCACCATTCGAGAGTGTCTTCGCCCCCGCGCGCTGGTTGAACGCAGCAGGGCCTGGGGGCGCACATGCTGCGCAGCAGCCCCGTGGCGCCCAGCGGCAGCGGCGCCCCGGGGCTGGCAGCGAGGAGCTCGCCCAGGAGCCGTCGCAGTCGCCAACTCTCGACGGCTGCGGGCGTCGCGCACAGAAGCAAGACAGGCGTCACCGCACACGGTCGGGAACTTTCGCTTCGAGGATCGAGGGTGTCGAGGATCGAGGGCCGAGGGCCTTGGGCCGAGGATCGATGTGATGGGTCGAGGTTCGAGCGCTGCTTCTGGAGCTCCAGGGGCGTCCGGAGGGCTCCAGGGAAGTTCTCCAGAAACTGAGTGCAATTCAGGGTGGATGCGGTCGGGAACTCTCGCTTGGCGTGTTGCTTCGCGGGTTCTGGCCCACCATGCTTTGACGCGACACGCTAGCCGCTTCCTGGCCCCCAAGCGTCAATGTCCCGAGTTTTTCCGGGCCTCCCGGCCAGCGGAGTGGAGCGACACGCTTTCCGCTCGCGAGGCGCAGCGTGTCGTCAGGGCCGCCGCGGCGACGCGGAGCAAAAGTTCCCGACTGTCAGTTAGAGCCACGCCTTTTTTCTCGGGGGGTGCTCCTTGGGCTACCCCCGCCACCACGGCCGGATCCGCCTTTGACGTTATGGCCAGAGTGCACTCCCAGGCAGGTCCGCGGGTCGATTCTGACGCCTGAAGGGTTCAGGAGGGTAAAAGCACACATACACCCATCAGAAATCTTACGAAAGAGTGTGAATTTCCGTGGACCCCCAGATGTCGCTCAAGAGAGCCAAGAATCTTGACTGGACCCTGCGCGTTCTCTTGGAGTTTTTTCTTTGTAGAACTTCCGTATTTCTGGACCTGGACTTTGTTTAAGAAAACTCTTCGAGTGAAGTCCATCTTCTTAGCCTGAAAGGTTCTTAACTCTAAGCAGGGGTGTACACAAATCATCGTATATTGCAAGAACATCTAGAACATATGGGAAGCGAAGGGGAAGATGGACATCCATAAGGTATAGAAAATATGTGGGATCCTGAGATTTGTGTTTATTTAGTTGTAAGTCCCCAGGCCCCTTCAAGGATGACGTCTCGTTCGCCGAGTTTTGCCAGACCTCCGACGTCCTGTTTCTGGCCTCGCGATCCTCATGCATCACGCTGGCTGGCTCGAGAGCTCCCGCGCAAGGATTGGCACGAGGGCTCCTGTCGTCTGTGATTGCCAGTTTTTGTGTATTAGTTTTTGCGCTACATGGCTGCTGTCGTGGTCGATGCCGCAATGTCGCTGTCGTCGATGCCACGATCGGGCCACCACCGTGCGTCTTGAATCATGTCTTCTGTCGCACAGCTGGCGTCCAAGCGATTCTTGCTGGCTACCTTTGCAGTGCAGTCTGTTCAATCAAGCTCCACGGAGATAGCGCTGGGGGCGAGGGCAGCTGTCTGGTCGTCCTGTTTCAGGGTGGCGGTGCCGTCCACGTCAGCGCATTGTGCTCCTCCAAGCGCATCGCCTTCTTACTTGTGTCTCCACGCTGTTTGCGCACGGGTTGTCCCAGAAAGGAAGGCAGCCTCTCGCCCTCGGCGGAAGCTCGTGGAAGACCCGCGGTTTGCCGGCGGTCGTAGAGCGCTTGTGGCGACGCTGGCGGCGGCCGACGGCACCTCGGCGTCCTGCGGCGGACGTCAAAGCTGGCATCCGAGAGAGAGAGATCGTCGTCGGCGCATGTCGGCGCACCCTGGGGTTCCTCGCCGTCGGCCGCCGGGTCTGCGCAGAGTGCCGCTCGCGTGCGCTCCTCGGCCCGGGGCCAGCCCGCGAGCCTGCCGCGCGCTCCTCCGCGGGGCTGCCGCCCGGAGTGCAAGACGGCCTCTGCTGCTCGGCCGGGGCTTGCCCTGTCCTGCTGCCTCCTCCCGCCTCGTTGCCCTCCTCCCCCCGTCCCCCCCCCCTCCCTCCCCGCCCCCCCTGTCTCCCCCTCCACAGTTGCATCCGGCGAGTGATACCCTCCTCTCTCCACTGATCTGTGCGTGTCCCCCCCCCCCCCGCCTCTCCCTCTCCCACGTACGCCTTTTCCATGCTCAGGAATTCATCTGGTGGCCTGCGGCCCACCCAGCCGCCGTGCCCGGGCTGTAGGTCAGAGGCCCTATGGATGCCTGTGGGCATCTCTTGGGATGCCTCTCGGAAGCTTCTCGGTGGCGCTACTGGGGTGTTTTGGGGCCTCTCGGGGGTCTTTCGGGGGCCTCTTCGGGGGCCTCTTGGGGCTTCTCCGGGGCCTCTTTGGGGCCTGCTGGCGGTCATCTTGAGGTGTAGTGCTCGAAGTGTAGGTTCGGGTTCCCTCTCTTGGGCCTCTCTTGGGGCCGCCCGTCTCGGTGTTCCCTCTGCCGCGTTGGCCACATTTGAAGGGTCGGTGCTTTGCCCGCATCGCTCAGAAGCGCTGTCGCCTCAGAGCGGGCCACAGTTTTGGATCCGAGTCCTCCCTCGCCGTTGTCGCCCCCCTTCTTCAAGGGCTCCCTCGAGGGCGCGAAGTTATTCGCGCTTCGCGCTTCGCGGTCCTCGTTCCTTCTCCCCCTCCTCCTCGTCCTCCTATTCTCCCTTTGGGAGGGCGGCGCGAGAGCGCGAAGTTATTCGCGCTTCGCGCTTCGCGCAGCGCGAAGCGCGAAGTTGGGAGCCCTAGCTTCTTTCCCCTTCTCCGCCTTCCGCTGATCCTCTCGCTCCTACTGTCGGCCCGGAGTAGTAGGTCGACCCTGCCAAATCAAGGGTCCTCTTGTGTCCTGTGCCTCGCGACCCATGCCTCTTGCATTCCTGTGGCAGTGTGGCCCTCGGAAGGGTCTCGTGTCCTCTCGTGTGTCCTCTCCAACCAAGTCCGACTGTATCTCTGCTTCTTCTTCTCCTCTCCAGCTCCACCTCCACCTCCTCCGTCTCCTTGCTGGCCCTCCTCTCTTCCCCCTCTTGCTCCTCTGCCTCGGGTAACTCCTCCTCCTCCTCCTCCTCCTCCTCCTCGTGCGAAAGCCCCTTCGTCCGATTGTGCAGAAGTGCCATTTTGGCATCCCCGTCCTCCCCCATCCTCCAGGACACCCAGTCGGCGGATAGAACAGGGATTCGTGGCAACGGGAAGGGACGGATGAGAGCGGTAGGATGCCAGATGTGGCGCGAGCGCGACTAGCTTGCCTCCACTTCCCCCCCCTCTTCCCACTGTGCGGAGGACCCGGGCCGGACCACGACGCCCGTGCCTCGCCGCTTTCAGGAGGCAGCGGGGCTCAAGGGTGCCGGGGGGAGGAGGAGGACGAAGAGGAGGATAATGGTGATGATTATGCTGCTGATGATGATGCTGATGGTGATGATGTTGCTGCTGCTGCTGATGCTGATGCTGATGCTGATGCTGATGCTGATGCTGACGCTGCTCATGATTATGATTCATGAGCTCATGATGCTCATGATGCTGATGATGAGGACGATGGGGGAGGAGGCGGAGGACGAGTGCACCAGTCTTCTGCGACAAACCTGCCCACAGCTAGAAGCTCAAAGGAGGATGACTAGAGTAAACCCAAGGTGCACCAGCGATGCTGCCATACACCCTCCCGTCCCAAGTGCCCTCATCACAAGTCTATGCAAACATTCCTCCGTTCTTCGGAATCCCCCGTTGAAAAACAAGAGTCCCTTGGACGTTTTTGAAAAGAATCCGCATTCCATCCATGTAGCTGTTGCACAATTGTACACTTCTGATCGCACAGTTTGAAGGAGTCGTCAGCGATGACCCCATTTCCAAACGGACCGCCATCCATTCGTGTAGGTAGCTGTTGCACAACTTTACCGAAGACGCCTACGACGAATCACCGCCGCCCCCTGCCTTTTAGGATATGCCTATGTGGCCAAACGTTTGGGGACAGTTTGGCCACACCATCGGACCATGTTTTCCCCCATCCGTTGTGGAAGCCTTTCGGGGAACAGAAGCGGATAAGGAGGAGAATACGGAAAAGGGAGTATGATGATGAGGAGGAGGAGGAAGAGGAGGAGGAGAGGGAGGAGGAGGAGGAGGAGGAGCAGCAGGAGGGGGAGGAGGAGAAAGAGGAGGAGGAAAGAGAAGGAGGAGGAGGAGGAGGAGGAGGAGGAGGAGGAGACCTCTTCGGAGCCTCTTAGGGCACTCTTGGGGTCTCCTGGGAGCTTCCTGGGAGCCTTTTGGAGGTCTCTTGAGGGCCTCCTTGGGCCTCTTGGGGCACTTTGGGAGCTTCTTTGGTGCCTCTTTGGCAGTCTTACGGCGTTCCTTGCCCGTCGGAAGCCGTCTTGGGCTGTCTTGAGGGCCTCTCTGAACCGACTTGGGGCATTCTTGGATCTTTTCAGGGCCGTCCTGGATACCATCTTGGGCGTCTTGGAGGCCTCTTGGGTCGTCTTGGGTGCCTCTTGGGCCGTCATGGAGCCAACTTAGAGGCCTCTTCGGCGATCTTAGGGCGATCTTGGATGCCTCATGGGCAGGCTTGGGCCGTCGGATTGCCGAAAAGATGGAAGTGTCAAACTGCTTCAACAACCAATGGACAGTTCTTTTTTTGGTATCGTCGGGCCTTCCTGAGGAGATCTTGGAGGCCTCTCGGGCCGTCTTGGAGGCCTCTTGGGGCGTCTTGGGCCCTCGTGAGGCCAGCTTGGACCGTCTTGGTAGCTTCTTGGGCAGACTTGGAGGCATCCAGGACCCTCTTGGGCCATCTTGGAGACCACCTTGGACCATCTTTGGCGAACTTGCAGGCCATATTGGCCCATCTTGGCTGTCTTGGAGGCCGTCGGGCAGTTTTTCCAGCGGATTGTGCGGCCTTCCGGGTGGCCAGCGCGCTGGGCCGAAGCTCCACGGGGAATTCTTTTGGAAAAAGCCAACACCAAGCCGAAGTGTTCAGCACGCCGGGCACCCCTGTGGCAAGACCACAGGGGGCGGCAGATCGAAGACGCCTACGGCGAATCACCGCCGCCCCCTGCCTTTTTGGAAGCGCCTATGTGGCCGAACGTTGAGGCCAGCTATCGGACCGTGTGTTCCCCGAATCGGTTTGGAAAGCCTTCGGGGAACACGTGGGCATCTTGAAGGTCATCTTGGCCGTCTGGAGGCCATTTTGACCTTCGGGCCTTCTTGGAGGACGTCTTGGAGGGCTCTTGGGCCGTCTTGAAGGCCATCTTGAGCGTCGTGGAGGCCTCTTGGGCCGTCTTGGGAGCCTCTTTGGGCCGTCTTGGGCCTCTTGGGCGATCTTTGGGGGCACTCGGGCCGTCGGAAGGCCGAGAAAAAGCAAATGCCACGATCCTTCAAAAACTCTGGGGAAATCAATGATTTGGGCCTTTTTCGGGCTTTCCTGGAGGCCCTCTTGGAGGCCTCTTGGGCCGTCTTGGGCCAGCTTCGAGCCAACTTCGGCTATCTTGGTGGGCTCCTGGCCCGTCTGACGCCGTCGGAAGCCGTTGGGGGGGCCTTTCTGGGCCGACTTGGGGCCCTCTTGGGGTGCTCCAGGGCCGTCTTAGAGGCCATCTTGGGCGTATTGGAGGCCTCTTGGGTCGTCTTTGTGCCCTCTTGGGGCCGTCTTGGGGGCCTCCTGGGCCGTCCTGAGGCCATCTTGCAGGCCTCTTGGGCGCTGTGGGGGCGATCTTGGGGGCCTCTTGGGCCGTCTTGGGTCGTCGGAAAGCCGAGAAGAAGCGAATGCCACAATCCTTCCAAAACCTAGAGGAAATCAATGAGTTTGGCCTCTTCGGGCCTTCCTGGAGGACCTCTTGGATGCCTTTGGGGCCGTCTTGGAGGCCTCTGGGGGGCCTCTTGGGCCGTCTTGGACTCTCTGAGGCCATCTTGGAGGCCGTCTGGGACCATCTTGGGCGGATTTGGAGGCCATCTTGGACCATCTTGGAGGCCATCTTGGGCCAACGTGGCCATCTTGGAGGCCATCTTGAGCCGTCTTGGAGGATTTGTTGTGGACGCTGAGGTGGTTTACGCGGACTTCCGGGACCCAGGCGGGACGGGCCGAAAGCCAGGGGGAGTTCTTTTGGAAAAAGAAGCAAGACCAAAACGGAGAGGATTTGGCACGCCAGGCACCCTTGCGATGAATCGACAGGGGGCGGCGGATTCAGTGGCCTTCAGCCCATTCCGCCACCGTACCTAGGTTGTAGGTCAGAGGCCTCTTGGATGTCCTTTGTGATCTTTCGGGAGGCCTCTCAGGAGCCTCTTGGATGCGATTTTGGGATGTCTTTGGGACCTCTCGGGGGCCTCTTGGCGTCTGATTTGGGCCTCTTTGGGGGCCTTCTGGGGAGCCTGCTGGCGGTCTCGGGGGTGGTCTTGGGGACGGAGCGCTCGAAATGCAGGTTTTCCCTCTTAGGCGGCCTCTCTTCGGCCACTCTTGGGGCCCTCTTGGGCCGTCTTGGGGGCCTCTTAGGCCGTCTTGGGGCCCTCTTGGGCCGTCTGGCGTCTGGGGGCCCTCGTGGGGACCTCTTAAGCCGTCTCGGGGCGATCTTGCGGGTCTCTTGGGCTGTCTTTGAGCGTCGAAAGCCCGAAACGGCGAGAACGCTGGAACCCTTCAAAAACCTTACGAACATCAGTTGTTTTGCCCTTTCGGGGCCCTCTTGGACGTTCTCTTGAGGCTCTCTAGGGGCCTCTTGGGGGCTTCTGCGGCCGTCTTGGAGCTGGCATGATCGCGTTGGCAGGGACGAGTATCATCACAAGGAGGAGAGAGAGAGAGAGAGAGAGAGAAAAACAAATTAAGAAAGCGAGAGACAGACGACGGGGTGGGAGGCGAGGACGGCATGCGACCGGTAAAGGCGAAGGTGGTTTTGTCACACCCCCAGGCAGCAGCGATCCTCGGTTGAGTCTTATTGCCCCCCCCCCGCTCGGTGCGGGCACTGAAAGGTCGTCACCGCGGGCGCCCCTGCGTGGGCATGACACGCGTAGAGAAGCACATGGGCGCGCTGGCGCGCGCGCGGGCGGCTGTCCCGCCCAGCTGCGCAGGAGCCGAGGCAGGCCGAGCTGGCCTCGGCCGCTCTCCTTTCCCGCACTTGCCCGCGCGAGCTCCGGGCTCCCGCAAGCGCGCCTCCAGGTCCGCGGGCGGCTCTCGAGGGAGAGCGGGAGAGACGGAGGGAGGGACGGAGGGAGGGAGGGAGTGAGGGAAGGAGGGAGGGAGGGAGGGAGGGAGGGCGGGAGGGAGGAGTAGGAGGTGGAGGAGTAGGAGGTGGAGGAGTAGGAGGAGGAGGAGGAGGAGGAGGAGGAGGAGGAGGAGGAGGAGGAGGAGGAGGAGGAGGAGGAGGCTTTCACTCCCCCCACGGGCCCGACAGCGTCTCCGCCAGGCGATCTCCACCACCTGCACGGCGCATCAACGCCACTTGTGTAGTCCAAAAGAGACAGGTCGCCACGATTCGGACCACGGGTTCGGCCGCGGGCGGGTCTACACGCGCCCGCTGCCCGCGCCTCCGTGGCGGGAGGTGCCGCGGAGCTGGCAGGGGTGGCACAAAGAAGCCTCGCCCCTGGCGCGGTCGAAGGATCCCGACTGAAGGACTTCAAGGGCGTGGCGAGGAGGGTGTGGCGAGACGCCCCCCCTGCGCGCCCGAAACTGAGAAGGAGACTCTGGCTCTTGGCACGCTTCGGCATGCGCGCCTCGGATCCCGTAGAGAGGGAAGGCTCCGCCTTGGGCCCCCCCCCGCAGCGGCCCAGGGCGCAGGTCGTAGAGCGGATCGCCAGGCACTCGCGCAGCGCACGCGGTGCAGGCGGGCCAGCGGCTGGTGCCCCAGCCTGGACGGTTCCCCGGAGAGTGGCCCCGGAAGAACAATGGCGTGTGGCATGCCTGTGGGAGGTCGCTCCAGGCGGGCTGCGCTCAGAGAAAACTGTCGAGGAGAGGTCTCGACCGTTCCTGGTGGCTCACGTGGCCTGGTGGCAGCGGTTTCGCGATAGCGGGAAGGCTGCTGCCTGGCCACGGTGAGGCGTCGCGTGAGGGCACGTCTCCGATCGGTGGGCTGTGCTACCGTCGCCCAGGTTCCTCTACCCCGGTGGGTGGTTTTGGGGCCCTCTGTTCCCGCTCTCTGGTGGGGCGGGGCGTGGGCATGGTGGCAGGAGGTGCTGTGCTGAGGGGCTGGGTGTTCACCAGCACTGGCCAGACATGCGGGTTGGATCGACCGAACCGGCCCGCTGAGGACTTGCTCGTCCGCGTCGGCGTAGCGTGTGGTGCTCGTTGCACTGCGTGTCCCACTCGTGGATGTGAGGGCGCTGGTGCTGGATCCGTGGTGCTCAGCGTCGTTGTGCTCGACTCC